ACATTGCATACACGTATGCACTATTAAAACACAAATTGTACACGTACAACAAATCTAAGAAAATTAAACAAAATAATAATAAAAATCTCATATTTTTATCTCAGAATATTATAATAATATATTTCATCTCTCGGTTATATATATTCAAATAAAATATATAAAAAGAAAACAAACCCTACAACATTGCATACACTTATACATTATTAAAACACAAATTGTACACGTACAACAAATCAAATCAAATCAAAATTAAGCAACAAACAATAACAAAACAAAATTTCATATTCATTCAAACAATATAACAACACACTCATTATATACATTACACATTTAAAAAACAAACCCATAAAATTCATACTAATCGTCATACCAAAATCATTCAATTCTAGATGCTTTCTTACACTTTACAAAAGATCCTTAATCTTAAAACACGTACTTTTAATACTACCTTCCCATGAATGAAACTCCAAGAATAATAATAATAATACTAATAATAATAATAATAAAAAAAAAAAACAAGAAGAAGAAGAAGAAAATCGGTATGGTGTAACGAATCGTATAGGAGAGGTCTGGAGGTGGATGCAAAGTTAAAACAAAGCCCAATAAAGGGTTCAAGAAGAAGAAGAAGAAGAAGAAAGGAAAAGGAAGAGAACGAAGAAGGAAGAAGAAACAGGGAGATGGGTGGAGGGGTGGAGGGGGAGGGGGGAGGAGAAGAAAGGATCAGGACACAAAGGGAGCCCTTTTTTGCGGAGGTGTTTCTCTTAGAAAGAATGAGAAAGAAAATGAATGAGAAAGAAAGAGAAAAAGAAAATGCGTGTGTGTGTGTGTGTGTGTGTGTGAGAGAGAGAAGATGATTGTTGGTGTATTCGTAGCCTCCCACTTGCGCATTATGCGAGAAGATAAAGTATCTCTCGCGGGAGGAACATTTTCCAGTTCTTTTCTCTACAATGTTGTGATCCCTGACCCCGCAATACACAAACAGATATGTATATATGTAGAGATACACATACATGGATAGTTAGACGAGCAGAGAAGAGACAGGGAGGGCCCTGTCCATACTACGAGTACCTTCGGGCCCACGCTTTTAAGAATGATCTCGACAAGGATTTTATATCTTCCTCACTATTTCTATCCCGTTTTTTTTTTATCTATTTATCTATCTATTTATCTATTTATCTGTGTCTGTTTATCTGTTTATCTCTGTTTATTTCGTTATTTTTTTTTTAATAATAAAATGTTATCATCTCTATGTTTTTTATATATTATATGTATATGTATAGTGATTTTTGTGATTGTATTTTGAATACTTTGTCATGAAATATATTTTGATTAATTATAATAATTATATA